TCCCAAAAACTCATGAATAGTTGTCTGATTAACACCATGTCTGAAAACACTGTTACACAACTTTCAGATTTTTTTGGAACTCTTCGCCCAAATTGGCCGATGACGCCGTATGCAGCAGCTCCTACCGTAATCCTACAGTAATGGAGGGAGATCGGTGACTCGCTCCTTACTGTGAATTTGCGTTGAAGCCTCTCCTACCGAGGTACTAGAAGCTAAGGAATAGACTTAATGGAAAGAGAGTTATTAACGATCAAGAAGTGTGTACCTACTTATGAGACACCCTGTATAATGCCGCTCATAGAACGTGCAAACTATACGTGAATGCGCGAAATTCCGTTGCCGAAATCGCAAAATCCCTGACAGTGCATGGTTGTAGGTTCCTTTACCGCACAATGAGCATTCAATTCACAATAGCTGGTACTGGCCCAGTGGACACCCAAAACAAGAAAATTTTCAACCAAAATCTCAGTCACATAGTACGTCCTTCGTTCAGTGTTAAGGGTATCAGTAGCAAATCAGTTTTAGGTAAAAGGACATCTGGACTACTCCAGAAAGCTTTCTGAAGTTTTAGCTGCAGTTGGTATCAGCGTCAAACGATCATCTTCCACAGACTTCGAGAACGGTTACGAAGCAGTTGGTGAAGCACAGGATGCTGTTGTAATGAAGGATGATTCTACTGAAAACACCTCTGACATTGTAGAGCAGGCTGTAGACGGACTACGCGAAATCTCTGTCAAAGATAAGAAAATTTTGTCACAATTATAATGTATCATAAGTGCTACGGAATCTCTTGCTGTGGAGCTGCATCTCATTCTACTACTTAATATCGTATTTTTCTGATTGTGATCTTTCACTACGGTTTCTTCATCTAATCAATCCATATCTTTACGTTTGGTTAAATGAAACTTCCATGGCCTGACATGCTACGAGTAATTTTTATTCAAAGATCATGAGACATCACTTCCGCTTGAGGTTTCGCTCTCATTGGTACCTTATCTCCAGACATAAACTGCTTGTCTTAACGCTAAGTCAGTGTACCAAGAAAGAAAGCAGCGATGTACGTATCAGACATCCGAAGACTTAGAAATTCAATGGTAGGGCTAATATTCACCTCGCCTACATGGGCGACCACCATCGTCTTGGATCAGCTTTCACTTGTAGATGTAGATGCGGAGCTTTGAATGCAGAGCTGAACAATGCCTGTTGTATGTTTCGTCGTTCCCCGAAGTAGACGGGGCGCAGATTGCTGACTTGCGGATTTGAAAGCAGAGCTAGTGTTGTGAGATTTATTTATTTATTGATACATCGATGCGCCATTATACAAAAAACGAATATTTTAT